GCCTTTTGTTTTTAAATGTCTTCAATAATTTAATGATCCTACAGATTCTATCTAACATTTTAGCTGAGTCATATTCTTTTCTTTTTCTCCCAGTCCTGAGGCTTGAACTCAGGACCTGGGAACTGTCCCTGAACTTTCTTTTGCTCAAGTCTAGCACTTTACCACCTGAGCCCCCTGAGCTTTACTTCTGGTTTATTGGTAGTTTATTGGAGATAAGAGTCTCACAAGCCAGCTTCAGTGCCTCACACCTGTAATCCTAGGGACTCAAGAGGCTGAGATCCTAAGGATTGTGATCCAAAGCCAGCCTGAGCAGAAAAGTACATTAGACTCTTATCTCTAATAAACCACCCAGAAAAAGCTGGAAGTAGTACTGTGGTTCAAGTGATAGAGCATTAGCCTTGAGCACAAAGAGGTTCAGGGATAGTGCCCAGGCCTAAGTTCAAGCCCTAGGACCAGCAAAAAAAAAAAAAAAAAAAGTCTCACAGATATTACTGCCTAGTCTAGCTTTGAACCACAATCATCCGACCTTAGCCTCCTGAGTTGCTAGGATTACAGGCATGAGCCACTGATACCCAGCTCTGAATCATAACTATTGGGATGACTTATCTTAGACTATCAATAACTACACATTTGTGATATTAATTAAAGGTGTGTCCTAAATGCATTACTCTGAATAAATGTCTGAATTTTTATAACAGGTTACAGGAATACTTAAAGATGCTGGAATAAACAATTTAACAATTCAAGTGGAAAAAGAGGCATACTTCCAACATATGTCTGGCCTAAGTACTGGATTTCATGACGTGCTGGCTATGACAAAACAAATGGAGTCCATGAAATACTGCAAAGATGATACTTACATCATGTGAGATAACTCAGGAATTGCTCCTATGGTGTGAACAATGAAAATTCAGTGATGTAGTGTTGGTAATATTGTCAAAAGAATGAAAATTGCATATAATAGTACAAAAACTTAAAACTCCCTACTATTGGATCAAGGAGTCTCTAAAAATTTAGACCCAGAATGAAGCATTTATTGTACAAGAAAAATCACTATTTAAATTATGTGTATGAAAGAAAAGTTTGACCCATCATCTTCCAAGATGGACACATAATGATGGATTCTAGTGAAGACCAAAACTTCTTTTTGTGCATTTACTTTGTATTGGAAAGCATCTCCACTATAAATATGTATTTACATGTATATTACAAAGACTAAATGAAAAGTTTTTAAGCCATTTTTTTGCATAACCCAAGGATAAAATAGGAATAAAATCTCTATATTTATGGATTTTTCTGTATATAAAACTGATTTCTAATTATAACTTAAATCCACTAAGTAAAGTCTGTATTGCCACTTTAAATGTAAACTAAGTTATTTGGAGAAACTTAAAACCATCCCTTTGAAAGAAACAATAGAGAATCATAACAGTTTTTGATGTATTACAAGACCAACCACTCTGTTAAATAAATTTTTTTACTTTTGTTAACATTTGCAAATGAATAATTAATTTATGACGTTGAGAGCTTACACTAAGTTGTGTCCACATTACTCACTTGCCATCTTCCTCCAAAGTACAACATTCTATTTCTTACCAAGCATTTGATCTTCCAGCTGCTCACCAAGCTGGTACCCAACAAGCAGGCTCTTCATCTGTTCCTTTACCCCCCTATGTTGTGAAACAGCTAGTTGAGAGAATCAAATAATAGCCAACTTGGAGATGAATTCTATACCTGTAGGTAAAACTAGTTTCTAGAAAATGTAGATATATAAGAAACATCAAATCAGCTGCCAGTGACTCATGTCTATAATCCTAACTACTCAGGAGGCTGAGATCTGAGGATTGAGGGCTGAGACCCATCAAAAAGCTGGAAATGGAGCTGTGTTTCAAGTGATAGAGTGCCAGTGAAAAAGCTTAGCAAAGCTTTTAAGTCCCTGTATTCAAGGCCCACTCTTACCCCCCCCAAAAAAAAAATTTATATCAATATTAAGCATTTAGATACCATGGAACAAAAATTATCCCCTATAGGGGCTGGGAAGGTGGCTCAGTGGTAGAGCGCTTGCCTTGCATGCTCAAGGCCCTGGGTTCGATTCCTTAGCACCACATAAGCAAAAAGAAAAAAGCCGGAAGTGGCGCTGTGGCTCAAGTGGTAGAGCACTAGCCTTGAGCTGAAGAGCTGAGGGACAGTGCCCAGGCCCAGAGTTCAGGCCCCACGATCGGACCCAAAAAAAAAAAAAATTATCCCCTATAGTGATTCCTAATTTATACTTCTAATTTTGTGTAGTCTGAAAAGACTATATTCCGTTTTAAAAATACCAAAGAATGTTGTCCTAAAGGAGCTTTCAAGTATTTAGACTATCTAAATACTTTAATTCTTCTACTAGGAATTTTGATAAATAGGATGAATTTAGTATGGATACTATTTTCTTTGCTATAATGACATATATGTATTGTAAATCATATTTTTGCTTACCAATTATGTAAGGGGGGTTAGAAATTTGTTGTTACTTTGCACATTTTCTGGTCCATAATCTTTGGACATATTAAAATTTTTGAGTGGTGGGAAAATAATTGTATATTGATGTTTTTATACCTTAAAAAGGGAACCAGAAATGTAGCTCAAATATTTGAGCCTTTAATTTAGCCTCTGTAAGTAAGTCCCTGGGTTTATTCCCGAGAACTCCCCAATAAAAGTAACAGGTCTTTTAGCTGGGGACCATGGCTAAAGTGGTAGAATGTTTGCCTAGCAACCAGGAGGCTCTGGAAACAAAATTTTTTCAAAAATCAGATATAATTAAAGTAAATATTATACCAATTTTTAAATCATGATTTCCCCTAGAAGGCAAAGAAATAATGTGATTGAGAGTGATAATTATCAGGGCCACACACTGGTGACTCACACCTGTAATCCTAGCTACTCAGGAGTCTGAGATCTGAAGATTGCAGTTTGAAGCCGCCCAGATATAAAAATCCGTGAGACTCTTATCTCCAATCAACTACTCAGAAAAAGCTGGAAGTGCCAGGCACTGGTGGCTCACACCTGTAAACCTAGTTACTCAGGAGGCTGAGATCTGTGGGTTGTAGTTAAAAGCCTGGCCAGGCAGGAAAGTCTATGAGACTCTTAACTCCAATTAACCACCAGAAAACTGGAAGTGGTGCCATGGCTTAAGAGGTAGAATGCTAGCCTGGAGCACAAAGAGGCTCAGGGACAGTGCCCAGGCCCAGAGATCAAGCCCCAAGACCAAGAAAAGAAAAGGCTGGAAGTGGGGCTGTGGCTCAATTGGTAGAACACTGTCCTTGAACAAAAGAAGCTCAAGTGGGCTGAGAATGTGGCTTAAAGGTAGAGTACTTGCCTAGCATGCATGAAGCCCTGAGTTCAATTCCTCAGTATCACATAAACAGAAAAAGCCAGAAGTAGCACTGTGGCCCAAATACTAGAGGGCTAGCCTTGAGCAAAAGAAGCTCAGGGACAGTGCCCAGCCCCTGAGGTCAAGCCCCAGGACCAGCAAAAAATAAATAAATAAAAGAGGGTGAACAAAGGCAGACTAGAAGAAGGCAAAAGGTGCAGGTAGAAAGTAGGAAAGCCCCAAATGGAAAGTGCCAGGCCACTATTACTATAGGGAAATAAGCCTCTTGTGGTACTTTATCCCTAATTCATAAAGTCAATAAAATCTCAAATTGAGCCAGGCACCAGTGGCTCATGCTTGTAATCCTAGCTACTCAGGAGGCTGAGATCTGAGGATTGCCGTTCCAAGCCAGCCTAGACAGGAAAGTCCATGACTCATAGCTCCAATAAACCACCTGAAAACCAGAAGTGGCACTGTGGCTCTAGTGGTAGAGTACTAGCCTTGAGCTGAAGAGCTGAGGGACAGCACCCAGGCCCAGAGTTTCCCATGACCGACAAGTCTCAAATCAATAGTCATTAGGAACAAAAAGGATAATGTATGTGAAAAATCATTAAGTTGAAAAGGACTAAACTTGAGAAATCATTAAGTTTGACTTTAAAGGTAGATTTCATTAATTTTTTGTGTGTGAGTTGTGGGGCCTGAACTCGGCCTAGGTGCTGTCCCTCAGCTCTTCAGCTCAAGGCTAGCGCTCTACCACTTGAGCCACTTCCAGCTTATGTGGTGCTGAGGAATCAAATCCAGGGCCTCATGCATGCAAGGCAAGCACTCTACCAGTGAGCCTCCTTCCCAAACCCCTGAATCATTTCTTAATTCCACTTTTCATAAATGATCCTTGGGAAAGAAATGTGAAAAAGATAAATCAAGCAAGGCACCGGTGGCTCACACCTATAGTCAGATATATAGATATATCTAGATAGACAGATCCTAGTTTTTTGTTTGTATTATATAAGTAAACAAGCCCAATACCTGTGATTCATGTCTGTAATCCTAGCTGCTCAGGAGGTTGAAATCAGGATTCTGCTTTAAAGCCAGCCTGGGCAGACAGATCTTGGAAAGTATTAACTTCAATTAACCACTAAAAAGCTAGAAGTGGTGGTGTGACTGAAGTAGTAGAGTACCATCCTTGAGCAGAAAAATGATAAGAGCACAAAGTCCTGAGTTCAAGCCCCAGTTCCAGCATGATGTTGGGGGGGAGAGCGGAAGGAGGAATAAGACAACAAAGAAGCTTGATCAAGAGAATGAGGAAACAAGCAATGGATTAGAAAAAGAATATTTTTGTTGTTGTGGAGTTTGAACTCAGCCTGGGCGCTGTCCCTCAGCTCTTCAGCTCAAGGCTAGCACTATACCACTTGAGCCACAGCACCACTTCTAGCTTTCTGGTGCTTTATTGGAGATCAGAGTCTCAGGGACTTTCCTGCCCAGGCTAGCTTTGAACAGCAATCCTCAGATCTCAGCCTCCTTGAGTAGCTAGGATTACATGTGTGAGCCACCAGCGCCCATCAAAAAATATTTTTTAAAAACACATTTGACATAAGACTTGTGATTTGATTATAGAAATAACTCAAAACTCATAATAAGGCACAAACATATCTGGACAAAAGAGCTGGGTACAGTGGTACACACCTAAACTCCCAGCTACTTGGGAAGCTGAAACTAAAGGATCAAGCACTCAAAGTCAGCCTCGGCAACAATACTTCATCCAAAAAAGGAGGGGAGAGGCAAAACTCCTGAACAGAAATCTATTTATTTTGTCGTCATGGGGCCTGAAGTCTGTGCCTGGGTGCTGTTCCTCAGCTCTTCAGCTCAAGGCTAGTGCTCTACCACTTGAGCCACAGAGCCACTTCCAGCTTTTTCTGCTTATGTGGTGCTGAGGAATCGAACCCAAGGCCTCATGAATGTTAGGTAAACACTCTACCACTGAACCACCTTCCCAGCCTGAACAGAAATCAGAGATGAAGAGATGATTTTTTTTAAAGCATATTAAAAGATGCTCAACCACATATGTCATTAGAGGATAACTCAGGCTAGAGATGTAGGTTAGAGGCTGTGGATTCCATCTCTAGCACCACAAAACAATAAAAATGATTTATCACTGTCAATCCCATGGCTAAAACCTAAACTAAAAATAAAACCTAGCAATATCAAAACACTGCCAAGGATGTGGAACAACAGATACTTAATTCATTGCTAATGGGAATTTTAAAAATGGCAAAGCTACTTTAGAAGACAGTTGGCAGTTTCTCACCAAAC